AACGGTAATGCGCAAAATATTACATAAACAACTGAAAATAAAAAGTAATGTTCTTGTTTTTTTTTTTCGTCTCTTTTCAACGCATAATTTCTGAAAATCAGGTAACAGTGTTGACGCAAAAGACAGAAGACAACGATGAGGAAGATAGTACTGATGCTACTGCTGCTGATAATGATGATGACGGTGATGGTAATGACAATTAAATGATTGTTTAGCAATAAAAAAGCATCTAGAAATAGAAGTCTTGTTTGATAGTTAAGTCAGTTAATCAAAGTGTAGTATGATTCCTGTGCTCAATTATTTGTACTTACTTTTCTTCTCTCTTAAGATGGAGAACAAGAAGAACAGAGAAAGTGTCCCCGTGTATCGTTTAAAGATTAACAACTTTTTTCCTTACAAAGCGTTCAGAAAAAATAACAGTTGACTAAAAATGGTTTTTTTTTACGCACTGCTGTAAATTTTTTAACTTAATTATGAACTAAACGCACTGCTGTAAATTTTTTAACTTAATTATGAACTAAGAAGTTATTTATGGCTACTGTGAATTGACGGTAACTTGCAAAAACAAAAATATTCATTGTTCCACTGCTAAAAATAGTAATGTTTAAGACAGGTAAGTAAAATAAAAACAGATCTTTTTTGAAACATATGAAATTTCTTTTTTAATGCTAATAATATGTTGAAAAATCTTATTAAAAACGCCTTAGTAAATAAAGTAAAAAAAATTTCTTTTTAAGTATAGAAACTTTTTTTTTAATTCTAATAATATGTTTAAAAATCTTTTTGGAAATTTCTCAGTGAATAAAGTGAAAAAAGATTTCTTTTTATGTATAAAAATTTCTTTTTTTAATTCCATTAATATTTTTGAAAATCTAACTGAAAGCTCACTGCACTGCCGATAAACAGCGGCGATACGTTAACAAACCAAAAATACCACACCGTTTTTCAGTGAACGATAGAACTATGAAGTTGGTGTAGGGTACTTTTTTTAATCAGTATTCCTTTTTTCGTTTTTAACAGTAATTTATTTAGGTTTTTCGTTCATGCATAAAATTTAAAGCATCATCTTTTTGTTTAAAGTATGAGAAGGTACGAAAAAAAGTTTGTCTTTTCTTGAAAAAAGAAATTTTTTTAAGCTATATTAAGCGAACGATATCATTAAAAAACTGAGGAACCTCTACCACCGCTCCCTCTCTCAATCCCGTTTCCACTTCCACTTTTTCCCCTTCTTTTGTAGAACGAAGTATTCTTTACAATAGTCAACAAATATGGTAAGTGGATATGGTAGTCAATTGAATTAGTCCGTCCTCTTCGAGACTGTCAGCTAAGTAGGCCAACGCTCAATTAGACCAGCTGATCTCCTTTCAGTTGCCCAAATTTTAAACTCTTAAAATCACTTCAGTCTTAACACCAATTGAAAATAATACCTGAAAGTAATACAAAGTGTTGAATTGTTTACCTAAAGATTACACAAAAATTTTGTCTGCCACTTCTATTTGGCACTTTTTCATACCCATTACTGCTGCTACCACTCATTTCTTTCATTTGCAGTTCAGTTTTTTCACCCTCATTTTTTTCAGTGGCATTAGTCTTCTGCAGCAATCGCTTTTACCGTAGTAGTAGTAGTAGTAGTAGTAGTGGTAGTAGTAGTAGTGGAATGAAAGCCAAAGTAATAAATCGAGGAACTGCCAAACACCTTCCACTGTCAATCAAAAGCCAACAGCTCAAGCTGGTCGTAGTAGTTGCACCATTTATTACATACCAGTCAACAAAAAAATAAATTTTCTTAATATATTTCAACAATAAAAAGAAAATTTAGATTAAATTTAAAATAAACCTTTTGGTTACGAAAAAATTAAAGAGAAACTCAGACGAGCAACAACTAACAGAAAACTGAGAAATAAAAAGTTGAACAATCCCCGTTGGTGAACACACCAAGTAACCAACGTAACTCCAGAAAAGAGACAAGTGGTAAAATAAGACGAGCTCCTAGAGTAACGCAATTGTCAAATTTTTTTCAGCTGATCGCTGTGATCAAAAAAGCATTCAACTCCAAGCTATTCTAGATACCTCTGAAATTTATAACCCATAATTATTCATGATTACCTCAGGTATCCAGCTAATAACATTTGAGATGCACATCTTTATACTTTTCACAACTGAAACACTGAATAAAACACATTTTTTCTTTAGTTAAAAGTTGCTGTACTGTGATGTATTTTAAAATGAGACAAAAATGAGGGATACTGAAAGCGGAAACCACAATCATATTATTCTTATTCGCGGTAATAAGAAAGAAGTCCTGTGACCGCTCCATTCAATCAAATGAAACTTTTTGATCGTATCTAGGCAGTACAGCAAAAAACAAACTCATAATACATTTAAAATTACACTATATCATCTATCACCATATCCCATACGTGAGTGCTTTTGACGCAGTTGGTGAAATCGTTCGCAGGCTTAATCACAGCAGAGGAGGGATGAATGTTGAAACGAGAAGAAGCGCTCCAACGTACTTACTAACGTATGAAATATTAACAGTACTGGACGACGACAGAATCTCTTCAGTAACACAGGGAGGAAGGGAAAGGCACACAAATTAAAATTTTTACGATGAATTTTTATGCATCCAAAAGTATTGGAACCTTATTAATTCATTCACAAAACTCCATCAGTTATCAGTTGTTCACTCCTTGAAATCAGAAACTTTCACAAAAGAACTTTTCTTGCTACTTCTTCTGGAATAAAAACAGCTTTTTGACCTCTGCTTTTTAAATTCGTTCATCCAACACGACTCTCAAAGAGTCATTAAAAAAGCAGTTTCACTAATTCAATGGTCAGTCTAATCAAAAAAAATTAAATTAATAAGTAAAAGTGCATAACAAAAACTTTAATGCCTTTTTACGTGTCGCTCACAGAAAGACCTAAAAATTCCATTTGGAGAAACAAATAAGAGTTAGGAATTTTCTGCAAATAAATTCACATCCAATTATTGGTAGATTCATTTCTCTTTCATGGATTTCCCACTGAAATTCAACACAAATGAATATGAAAAATACATTTATAAAATTTGAATACAACGGTCCTTTGTAGTGCTAACTGGGAAAGTGGGTAAACTGAACTCATCAGAGGCTAAAGACCACAGATTTACAGTTACAACAGTTAATGCATTAATATGTTCCCAATACTTCTACATGTACGAAAATTTACGGCGTTCTTAAGGCTGACAGAATGACCACCAGTCCATAACAAGATATTTTCTCAGAGATGTACGTTGCAAACAGCTTGAAGAAATGCATTACGCCAATTCAATAATACCATTCATCCGTGAACCTTAGACCTTTGGTACCGCTCCACCGACTCCTTGAACAGATCGTAGTCAGACTCGGAAGCAACTGTGTCGATCTGAAGTATATGTCAGGTACTAATAAAAATTCAGCAAAAACTTGAGAACTGCAAACAAAAAAATTATTTTATTTGATACCACCATTCCAAATCATCTTTGAAAGCAACACAGAATAATAGTACCAGAAGTAGAAGTCATAAATCCTCACTGATAGTTTAGAAAGCACTTAACCCTACTTAAGATTATAATTAGCAGACCTTAAAAGAGGCCAAATCGCCAGCATTTAAATTCTTTGACTTCCTGTACAGATCAGTGTTCTTTTTGGTAACAACGACTTCTAGCAAACCATTAAAGGAAGTGCACATTTTAAAGAAAACGCGTCCACTACTTCTTGTGCTCTGAAAAGCTCTAAAACCCATAGACTCGTCAAAGCACTCCTCACTTGTTATTTTTACGAAGTAAGAAGAACTTAGTCATAAAAATTATCCTACAAACTAAATAAAAACGAGCTCTTTGCAACAACCTGTACCTTTAAAATTCGTGGGCAATTCACTTCAGGTTGTCTGTAACCTTTTTCAAAGATAAAATATGAAAAACTGTTTGACGTAATTCCATCAGCACTCTTCAATGGTTTTCCATCAGCTCGCAACTCTGGCCATCTGACAGGAAATTTACAACTTCTGAAACATAAATAAGCATAGTACAGTTGAAAAATTTTTGAAGCGTTTAAATGAAAAAGATCTTTTTTGTTACAGCAAAGAATTGACAAGAGACGAATTTGTAGCGGTAGAGTGTTTCAAACAAGTGGTTATTGAAAAAAAGAGTACTTATGCTCCAAAACCATTTTTGGGCAACCTTGGTCGTGTGGGCAAGGAGCAAACGTAAAACCAGGTTCCAAACGCGTTGGTATTTGGATTTCAGATGGTATCTAAAACACAGCTCTGCAGTTACTATCAGCACTAATTACATACTACTTTTGCGGAAAAATTAAAGAAACATTTGTAACAGTTATAAGACTATAATGACACTTTTCCAAACCAAGTTTTCAAAATTTTTGCTGGGAGACTGGCCTTTTCTCGAAGCAGACTGTAACGTTCCAATTCCGAAATCATTTTATCACCAATTATCGACTGTATTTCCTCATTCAAAATACCGTTAGAAGTAAGCAACTGCTTCACCTCATCGACATTAACTTCATAACTTCCCTCAACAATAAAATCACGCAGATATGATAGAGCATCAAAAGCAGTTTCTGAGTTCGAATCTATGATAGCAAGATATCTAAATAACTTTTAAGAAAAGACTTTTAATAAGCACGTTTAACATTTGGTGTTATAACTAAACCAGTTCTATGACTATAATAACTGCAAAACTAACCAAAATATTTACCTTATTACTCAAGATCAAGCAATAGAAAAGCTGCATTTTTGAAAAAGGATCTGAAGTTTACCTGTTAGTACGCTCCCAAAGTGCAGTAAGAAACTCTGTTCGAGAGTCGTGCGAAAGGAGTTCAACAAAAACCCTATGTGCAACGACTAAATCATATTTCTGGCTAGGGGATGGACGTAAATATCGGCGAAAATTTACGTTTGGATGAATAAAGACACGATTGCCATTATTGTCAGATCCCTGAAATACAAAAAGTCTAGCTCCTGTAAGTGCCTTAAATCCGAAAAACCGTGAACACCTCCAGAGCAAAAAATAATCTACCCTCATAACATCCATTGAAAACTTGTTCATTTCATCACATGGATCGATACAATTGTATTCTTCCACTTTATCTCCCCAGAGTTCATTAGCAGCCCAAAAAACGCTGCATGTGCCACTACCAAAATCGAGAATGCTTTTTGGAACAAATTTAACCTGTCGGAGTTCTTGCAGTACCTTCATAACTTCCGCGTAATTGGCATGTAACCTGTGAAAATAAATACAATTGTTCCTGGAAATGAAGAAGAATGATGCTGAAAAGATTCGTAATTTCTTAAGCTTTTCCTCTTTCTTACACTAAAAAAAACGTAAAATTCAAACGTTTTCCTAGGTAGAGGTTATAAAATAAGTTTTGTGTTTGATCAAACTGCGACAATTTACCTTGCTAAAAAATAGACCGCAACGCTTTCACGGTTTTCAAAAACCAACGGTTTCCAGCTAAAGAAAGATCGCCGTAGTTGCTTTGCAATCTCCCTGTTAAAAGCGTAGGTTTTTGCTTGGTCCTAAAGTTTTGTTATGAAATAAATTAGTGCTCTAAGTAGAAAAAACGGATTAGTAGCGGTGTTAACTATCCAACAAGTTACAGTGAAAGAACGCCTTCAAAGAAATATTTTTGGTAAACAAGTTTAAAATGAGAACTAACTAATTGTTGGCCAAATCTTTCGTCGTGCTTTAAAGATTCTTCATCCGTTAACTTTTCCTTCACTTTTGCACGAATTTTTTCCACCACATCACGAGGCGCAGGGAACTTCCTTTGTTCTAACTGCTTACTCAGCTAAATTGCAATGGGGATTTGGTACATAAAAGAAACCAATTTAATTTTCGTTACAGACTTTTGGTGAAACAACAACTAGACAAATGCGTCTGAAAAATTCAGACTTTAAACACCTGGTCGGCTTCATGCTGCAGTTGCTTAGGACTTCGTTGACACGTTACAAGTACGTTTTTCAGCCCCTCGATGGCTTCCTTTGGCAACGGAAAGACAGTCTTCGAAACATAGGGCATTCCTAAGATCCTGTTATCAATTGCGTCGCATAATGTAAAAATTTTTTTGATCTTTAAAAATCTCTCCAACAGTTATAATAAGAAAATCTAACGTAAAGAAAAAAACAAACAAATTTTTCGAAAATAATTAAATTCTTTTTTCCAAATCACCAAGTCACCAAAATATTTTCTATGGAAAGTTCAGTTTGATTAGGCAATTTCATAAACAAAACTAATAAAATATTCTTCCCAGGTACTAACCTCTAGCTTGTAAATGAACTTTAGACCGCTCCCTAGTAATTGAATTTATAGCGGTAATTGACCTTGAGACACCCAACGTTTCGCATGCCTCTTTAGAGCAACAAGCCAGGTTCAGCGGCCTTTGTAAAGCATACAGCGACAGTCGGAATAACGGTTTCTTGGACCACATAGTCCCAAAGACTAGTGCCTATTCAGGAAGAATTATATAAACGACAAAAAGAGTAAGCGAGACTGATTATAGTCTGCTAGAAACGGAGACTTTAATTATAACACTCCATACATTGTAAGTGGGAGTCATGCAGAACAGTAAGATGATTGCAGCATCCAAAACATTTCAGACGGACTATTTTCAAAGACCTAAGAAAGAAAGGGCCAAAGCGGTGGATAGCTACACTTCACTCAGAGTCTCTGAACACAACCAGGGAAGCGACTAAGCTATACCATGAAGTTACGCATGCAGAATTTAAATTACAACCAACATAACATAAAAAGTACCTAAATAGCGGTTGGTTATGAAGATAATGCTCTTATAAAATTGTCTGCTCAAAAGGTCACGATCCGGACAAGAATACAGATGAACAGCTTTTAAAACCCACGGCTCTGTTTTTGTAGTTGTCGACTTAAAAACAGTACACAGCTACCTATTTAACTGCAGGAGTTTGAGAAACTGTCATCAAGGAAAAAAAATAAAGTACTTCAATGCGGACACCCCAGACGTTAACTGAATTTGCCTCTTCATGCTTTAAAAAGACGTTTTAAATTAAAAATTAAAAAACTGAAACACCACTAACTCCATTGGAAGTAATTTTCGATCTTCAAAAATATCGTTGATGATCTTGCTTTTGCTGCACTTCCAACCAACAGTTTATTGTTACGAATAAAAAACTGACAAACATAAACTCTAGAAAACTAACACTGAGAACAGAGCCCAGTGCTGAAAACTATAGATTCGAGAAGCTATCTTTTCAGTACCATATGAGAGCAGTGCCGATGAAAATGATCATAAAAATCAAAATATCACCGAAAAAATAACATTAGTTTAATATTAACATTAAATATTTTCTAATTTTCAAATATATTTTATAAGGCGTCTGAAGGCTACTGTCCGTCAATTTGCATGAACAAAATGGAATGTAATTAACTGTTAAATATCGGCAAATTTTAAACCATAAATTCTAGAAGCTACATTAAATAAGAGTCATTCCAATAAGAACCAAAATTTATGAATAATATGCAGAAACGAGAGACGACTCAATGTTTCTTCGGGTGTCTGTACGACCAAAAACTTATTTTCTAATCTCTAGCTGCCCCCAGTATCCGTAAATTCATTAGAAATTAAATAGCAAATCAATAAACATGTAAACATTGGAATGAATAACTTGTTCAATACAGCACTCAATAAGGTACTTTTCAGTATATTATTCATATCTTAGCAGCAACAAACTGTGATCTTCTCACCTGACTTTTTACACATAGGGTACTTAAGCATACTCTTCTTAAGTCATCTGTACCTAATCACTAATTTTCACTCCTCTCTCCAATTTAAAAGTCTAACTTGAATAGTGAACTCCCTGTCAAACTTTGCTGCACATGAAGATACAACAGGTTATCGCAGTTGTAAATTTCCAAATCTTAATTACTCCCACGCTTCCTTCAAGTTGCAATGAGCACCTGTCATCTGCAGCGAGTTGTTTGTAGTCAATCCTTTCATTTAATATGTAGAAATTTATGAAGTAAACACAGAGCAATCAGTTAAGACACGGCTTTTCAACCGTTTTCATCAGAAGAATGTTTGCATAAATATTTCCTTTGATTTGGATTGTACAAGGAGTTCTCATATGAAGGTCTCCCGAAAAAGAGGATAAGGGAAACAAACTTATGACCTATTTCGGGTCATATACAGAAATTTATTTTGAAGGTTTTCACAAAAAAGATACGATTTACAAAGTTAGACAGCTGAACCGGAGAGGAGAGGAAACATTAAAAACAGCTAAAAACAAAAACTAAGAAGTGTATGCAAAGAACCCTATGAATGAAATATTGAGCAGAAAAATCACACATCTAGATGTGAATGCATTAAACCAAAGCAACATCCAAAAAATAGTGCATCTAATAACCGCAACAAACTAAGTAAGACTTTTAAGACGTAGATACTTTATAATCCGGATATTTCTTCTTGATCAGTTCGACACTCTGTTGATGATCTGCAGGACCAAATTGCTGGAATAAGCAAATGTCGCTAATATCAGTTTATGTTGGTTTTAACGAAGTGACAAATAGAAAAACAAAAAGTAATTTTTCTATTTAGCCAAATTCTTCCACAATCATACAAGAAGAACAAAACTTTAGCAACTCAAAAAAGCCGTCTGAAGCCAATTATCAAATACATCAAATATAACATAATATCTGTTCTCTATATTGTGAAGTGAAGAAAAACAGGAGAACAGGAGAACTACAAGAACACTGTGCAATAACCATTTTTTCAAAGCGAAGCAACTAAGTATGCAAATAGAGACTAACCATTGATTCGCCATATACAACAATTTCCTTCTTCTTTGGATCATGATTTACACGACCTCCTCCAAGCACTTCCAAACTAAAGTCGTTCATCCCATTCTCTTTTCTAGTTTCCTCTAAGACATCTGCATGATATGGGCACCTTTTATACCCACGCACAATGTACTTGGACTCATTTCCACCGGTTTTTTGTTGCATCTAAAACAGCAATAATATTGTGTTAATAGTATTTTGTTAAACTAGGTCGGTCACACTCGGTTTTTCTACTCCTGTATACCTTAATCAAGATGTACTTGAAATCGCCGACATCCAAATCAACGTTTGCAATCTGATCCAACGACATAGCGTTTAACAAAGCTCTCGTTGCTAAAAAGAAGACAAAGTGAAAGTGAATTCTGATGAACCACCAATAGTTAACACTGAAACGCCCTAACTCATATATTACGTGAAATTTTTGACACACAAACAGTGTGGTTCAAAAAACACTTCTACCACCACCACCACCACCACTAACAACAGCAACTGCAAGAATAAAATCCAGTCCCTGCCGTATAAATACCGCAGGATCAACGATTAAACTAATAATGATACTATAGTCGACTTGCTTGCTGTGTGCCAAACGAAATAAAATAACAAAAAAATATTCTGTTAGAAAAAATGAATTATCCATTACTTCTAATCAGGGAATATGTTTGTGGCAAGAAACCCCGGGCCCTTTTGAACATCCACAACAGATCAATGTACACCCTAGCTGTAGCTCGCCGACTGTACCCTGACGTTACCAGTACATCAAACCGACAACAAAGAGTTAACCTATTGACAATGGAGCAAACCTTTGCCAAGCGTTCCAGCAGGATATATCGTCGTATGCAAAAATTTGCGGCAGCAAAACGTTTCTCAAAACTGAATGAATGCCAACACGGTGAAACAGATCAAAAGCATTAATTTCTTCTTTTTTCTTTCTGAAATCAATACTTCGGCTAAAAAAGGGCACAGACCGATTTTATTCTGTTAAATCACATAGACCTTAGGTCATACAAATTCAAATGGACCTGCAGAAAAAAATACCAGTAATAGTTTGTGATTAGGAAATACAGAACTAGCAGCACGAATTCAACAACAAATTATATCCACAAATTTAAAGCGACATTCAACACAAATATAAATAAATAAGCACCACTATCTATCACACAATGCTCTTTGGTACACTGGTTGCAGAAGAAACATACAATTAATCAAAAACCTTCATTGCAAATATTAAACAACCCACTAAAGATTAATAAATATAAAAAACAAACGTTTAGAAAACAACGCTTCAATCAGTTAATCAGCAGTTACAATCTTCAAGATATCCTCATTTATGTCACCTTACGTTGAACAAAACAACATTTTGATAAACAAAGCTAATATTGGCCATTTAAGACAGACTACAGATTAGGTCCGTGTAAGAGCATAGTTGAACTGATGTTCAAAATTCTTTGCAGCGCGAGCCTTCTGAATCGCATCTAGAGTTTCAGAAACACGTTTCAACGAACGTGAATTAAAAAGTTTTGTCTGAAAATAAAAATGTTTTTTATCTTACGGTGTTAAAACCTTCCGATAAGAACTTTCCTAATGCAATTAAACTTAGCAGTTTAGCAAAGTTTCCTGTTAATAAAACAGATAAAAGTATCCCAAAAAACATGTTGCTTTTAAGCTCCATCTTGCCACTCCGGCAGATATAGGAAAAAGAAATGTATAAGAAACAATGATACTTTTTAATATCTTGGGTAGAAAAAACAGCTGATTTTCTTTAAAAAAGGCAACAATGTCCCAGTAAGTGAACTTACACTGAGACGCTTACGAACTTTCTCGCCTTCACCTATTTCTCTTTTTTTCGGTGATAGTTTCGTCTTCTTTTTTCCCTTTGACCTTTTACTGGATCCCTCACTAAGACTGACGCCAACTGCACTTTCCAAATCTTGCATATATTCAATATCTTCGCTCGTTGATGGTAATTTCGTAGGAGTTGGTCTAAATCATTGAAATAACATCATGAAATAAAAACGTTTTCAAAAGAAGGCAAAAAACAGCAGAAATTGATAACTAACAATTTCAAATCCTCCACTGGGAATCCCATTGCATCGCGCGGAATGATAATGCCATGCACAGGACATTTGTACTTGTCACGACGCGGACACAGTTTACCGTCAGATAATGGTGCGCGGCACTCATGATGCACACCTTCATCTTTACCAACAAATGTTATTAAACGTGATTTATAAACTTCAACATTATCATTCGAAACCGTGTCACTGTAAATCCCAAGAATAAGAGTAAAAAAATAGAAGATTTTCAGAAAGAATCAGAAAAGCTAAAAGACATAAATGCAAACCTTTCATCAGATGGCCGCCAAAACCGATGGCAATCAGAATTATTTCGTGGTACTTCAGCAGGTACAACCTCCTTGTCGCCCCAATACTTCAAGTCTAAGCCAAAAGAGAGCACTGGTACCGTTGAACCTGGGGCAGCAGAAGGGCCACAACCTGTGAAATTACTTGAAGAGCTGGAGTTTTCTTTTGTACTGGGAACGCCACCTTCTTCGAATTCTAACTGCTTTATTCTGTTTATCTCATGAGGAGCAAGAGTGTCATCGGGTGGGGGTTTAAAATCCAATTCCAAGCCTAAAAAATAGAAAAGTAACCACTCCACTCTTCAATTTGCTGATAAAAGAATGAAAGAAGCAGCAAAATAACTGGAAAACAAGATTATGCATGCCCCTACCCTCCTTTTCAGGAACATCTTCAAAATCGTCACTGTCTGAATCAGATCCACTTTTTTTTCTTTTGGAAAAGTCTGGCAGTTTCAGTTCCTCATATCTTAAATAAAACGAGGGTGTTACGTAAAAGCTTTCTAAAATCCAGTCACGGGCAAATTTTGATAAAGGATGCATTCAGGTAATAAGTCATATAGGTACCTTTGCAACTCGATTGCGATTTGTGACTTCAAGTCTAACACTTTTGCAAGAATATCAGCACCAGACGACACGCCGCACTTCGTAAGCTTGCGGAGCCATTTCGCCACTAGTTTTTCGAAGAACCGCAACATTTTCGTACTATCCCACAACGAATTAACAATTGATTCATTCGTTTCATTTATTTCAACCATGGGTCCTCCCACTGGCACAACTACCGAAATTGTATCAGTATTCATATACGCATGAAGGGCTTTCTAAAGAAGTAGAGACCTTTACTAGAACGGTAAACAAGTAATTTTAAAGATTAAAAAAAAACAAGATCGAAATCAACTCTTCAAGAAGTAATTTCAAATAAAATAAATTCACCTGAGATGTTGTCCTGTTAGATGGACCTGGTTCATTAAAGTCCTCTTCATCTTCCTCAAACTTTGGCATAAGCAACTCTGTTGCATTCCTTACCTCGCTCAAACAACGTGTAATATCCTCTGCCCTTTCAGAATACTCTTTCACAATTCCCTCAGCCATATGTAAAGCCCTTTGCTGTTTCCTTCGTTCATTTTCTTCTTCCCTTGTCCGTTCAACCTAATAATACAAAAGAAATAGTATACAATCATGAAAAAACTCATATTCACAGCAGTAGGTTTGGCAAAAAGTTAACTAGTATATTTACAGAAACAAATTTCTGACTTGCAACTGAGCATCTGCTCTTTCAAAATCAAAGGATTTAGAGGACCGCAAAAAATAATAGGCACTCGACAGTTTCGGATAAGCGGCAGCGAACTTTTCGTACCAGGTCCTTACAATCTTCATAGTTTCAATTTTTAGGTCGTTCGCAGCTTCTTTAGGAGGTGGAAGAGGAAAATGGATGGGGTCAGTTTCCATTGTGTAAATCAACCAATCCTAAAAATGGCTCAGTCATAGTAAAAAAAAAACTTAAAGCCAAAAAAAATGACCAAAAAAAAAAAAAAAAGGCATTTCACTCCTCAGTATGCCAATTCTGCAAGTAAAAGTAGTAGCAGTTTTTTTATTTTCACTGCTGTAAATTACTGCATCAACGGTATTAATACATTAGACAAAAAATATTAAAAATAAGGCCGTCACAACACTACATTACCTGAAATGAGTTAGTGATCTGAACACGAAATGCATGTGAACGTTGGAATAACTGGTCACAAATCAGTACGATGGCTAAACGGTAATCACAATCTCCACGACGTACAAACTCCAACAGGACATTTACAAGTTCTGGTATAACAGACCCGTTAGTTCTGACAATATGCTTTAGTTCCTTCAATCTTCCAGGATCCAGTTCTTTTTTAACACAGTCAAACTAAACCAGAATGAGGTTAGGCAGAGATAAAACTACATAAAAATACTTTTGCCTAGCTTTGGACCAAAGCTGAAATATCAGAAATACTAGTTTAAAATTACCTCTACTGAAACACGCAAATAATAAAATTCAGCTAAAAAATGTGGGCAAAATTTATGCACTGTCCAGTCTTAGGCAACATCCGAATTTAATTCGACGACCAAAAAAATCTGTATTGTTTTTCCTTTTAACTTTCATTTGGTAACAGTTAAACCATCAGTCTGGACAATAACATTATTCTAACCTTTGCCGCCATCGATCCAATACATTTCCTTAATACGATAATATCACCAGAGCCTTCCATTTTTTAAACTTCACCTTTATTCACAACTTTCCTTGCATCATTTCATAATCGTTCTGCAAAAATGCACTACGTGATAAGCGCGGGTACCACAGAAAAGTTACATCTTGAAAAGGTGACCATAACATTAACGGATTGTTGTATAACTACTATAACAGGCCAAACCGGGCATCCAAAAGTGACCCAGTACGCCAGCGGTCTTCAAAAGCTCCTAGACAGATGTAGACCATGAGTTCAAGTCTCAAATAACTTTTGTCGCTTGTAGCTTTTAAGCAGCACCTATACGAGCAAATCTTATTGATAGCGGCACTCTAAGCAGCAGGTCTTTAGAGTGCAAGTACCAGCAAAAGTACTCCTCCTCAGTACTGTTTTCACGTAGTAGCCAACAACCGTTCTTGTTCTTTTTAAAGTATAGGCTAGGCTAGGAGTCTTTTAACTCAAGTGTTGGAAGCAATCTCTCGGACAAAAAAATGCATTAGCTGCTTTTGCCCTCAGTTGGACTGGAACACCATTTTTATTGTTTCGTAGCAGTTCCGCCCAGTTGATGGCAGTAAATCAAAACTTACCAGATTTTTCACAGATCTTTTGAATGGAAAAAGAAAAAGCAAATAAAACATCAGAAAAATATTTTTAAAACATCCAGGGATAAAGTAGAAGTAATGGATAGCAAAAATTAATGTGTTAACGAGTTAAAAAGAACAAATGTTGTTGCCGCAGAGCATGCCGGTACAGAATACGGAGAATAAACAAAAATTTGAACGTTTTCGTAATCTCTGAATCTTACAAATTGAAAGCGAACTAACGCTCACATGTAGATCGATAATGGTCGCCGTCTTCATGGTACATGTAACAAACAATACGAATGGCGAATGGCAAAAGCAGTGGCAGGCAGCGGGCACACTCATTTGAACAAATAAACAACCTTTTATTATAGACAGAACAGAAATAACCAAATTGACCCTCACTGGTCAAATGAATCAGCTGTTTGTGTACGTTTGTGAAGTGAACTGATGTAATGTGAACGGTACGGCTTCACCGGTACCGAAACGCTTCGAAGAGGAAAGAATGAAATGTAATAAAGAAACAAGGAGAACTCTGGTAACAAAAAAAATGCGGTTTTTTCCCTTTTCAACACAAATTCTTATTTGTCCAACGCTGATAAAGACAGAGCATCTACGTTGCAAACCATCTCCGACTACTTTAGTAAATCAGTTACTCACATTAAAGAGACAGTACAAACAGATAAATATTTTGAAATTCATTTTTTTATATATCTAGTTTTTTCACTTTTTTTTTTTCAGAATTTCGATATCGAGCTAAATGAAGTGTGAAATCTCATATTTTACGGTAATTAAGTGTTGCATACAAGACAGGTGTTTTAGAGTTCGTTTTTTCCTTTGTTTCTTCCACAACTGAATGAATGTACAAAATTTTAACGATGAATAGGTACAAATTTAGTCAGAAAAAATTAGTAACGTTCTGATCTTAGGCTTAAAAGAAATTGAAACGCAGAAAACAGTAAAAGCTCAGGAGTTAGTAGTGTAGAAGAAGAGTCGATTCATCATAAATGATTTGTATCCTTTTGGGCTACCGAATACAGTACTTTTCAAGAAAATTACGTGAATACAAAAATGATGATTTCCGACTTTGAGGTACAAACATTGGAGAACCGTAACAGACAACCCCAAATTATGAAAACTGGCTTGTTTTTCTGTGCCGACTTTTAAAGTGATACCGCCCAGCTTTTAACGTATGGTCATGTCGTTAGGCCTTCCTTCTACCATTTTCATGTCTACTTCTCTCAACCAAATTGCCTATCCTATGATCGTACTCGTTGATGCTTTATGCTTCCCTTTTAAACGCACCAACAAATGACAACTTTTAACCCCGCATAAGAGCGGAACAACAAACTCAATTACTATGACATACAAAACGAAATATTCCGGTAAAACAATTCCATTTGTAAATACGTTTTAGCCACTATAACGCTTCCAGGTCCAGTTCTGTTTATTACAGTAAATATGAAGTCAAATGAGATCAGAAGGAAAAAAGCTTTTACTTTAACGAACATATTTCGATCCAGCTTTAAGCTCTTGGCAAATATTAAAAGAACTTACTGAACAATATGTTCGCTAGAATAACCAGGCTCCAACTTGAATAATCATATATGAACCCTCATCTTTTGATTTCATTCAAAATTTCCTTAGTTTCACTTCGTCACCACCTTAAAAACAAAAGCTAGTTACTGAAACCCCAATCCTTAAGTGATGTACAGAATACGCTTTAATAGTAGGTCGCTTTACAAATGGTATTAACAGACAGATAAAATTTTGGCCGCGACTCCATGGCTCAGTGGGTTACAACAGCAATCCGGAGAGATGCAGACGTGGGTTCAAATCCCACTGGGACGACGGTGAGAGTTAAATAAGGCGCAATGTACCATACATAAGAATTGGCTTACGACGTACAAAGCATAGCTTCATACTCACCGACACCAGATACCCCGAATTTGCAGTAGCTGAAAACGCTATAACTCAAAAATAGTGCAGTCAGTACCCTGGCTCTTAGTCCGAGTCCCATAGCTTAGCTAGCCAGAGCGGCATCCCGGTAAAAAAAACGGCCGTTGACACGAGCAGTTAATTGGGGTCAAAGTACATTTTTCGAGTATTCAGTTAAAACACCATCGACAAAAAACACAAAGAGGAAAATACGTATGTAACAAAAGTAATGTGTTAAAAAGTGGTAAATAAAAAAAAGA